TCTGATCTGAGGTTCTGATCTGAGGTTCTGATCTGAGGTTCTGATCTGAGGTTCTGATCTGAGGTTCGGCTGAAGTGTGTCTCCAGGGACCTCATGTATAAACGGTGCGTACACATAAAAACGTGTGCGCCAGGTTCTACGCCCACGTTGGGATGTATTAAAACCAATGTTGCGTGAAAGTGTGCGTATAGCACACTTTTTCACCTGCCATGAGAATGTGCGGCAGCCATGCAAAGTTTTTCAGTCAACAGTTTTAACTCACAAAGTCATGAATCTGACCTGAATCCACAGAAATATGACTTTGTTGTGTTTTCTGTATGTAAGAAGCGTCTGCGCTGCGAGTTTCTGCCYCGGTGTGGGACTGGGAACAGCTGACCGCTGATCCATGATACACACAACTTTACACAGCAAGTATTGCGTCTTGTGGAGCAGAGGAATCATCACAGCTGACCTGCTCTGAATTAATACTCTGAGTTGACAATGTTTTTTTCTCAGTTAGAATTAAAAATATTTCTTAGACAATTCACACATTTTATTTCCCTCAGCTGTGTGTGTGCTCTGCAGGCCTGTGCTCTGCGTGTGTTTCCAACTACGTGACAACAATATAAACACTTTACAGTTCACAGTAGACTAGAGGTTATTTGATCATTTTTCGCCTGATCTATTTTCTTGTCTGAGGTTAAATGATTTTCAGTCCCGGGGCTCAGTTTCATCATCGTTCGAGTTTAAACAATAAAAATGAAACAAAAAAATCTAACACACTATTAGATTTTTTTTGTTTCATTTTTAGACACGCAGAGCACAGGCCTGCGGAGCACCCGCACAGCTGAGGGAAATAAAATGTGTGAACTGTCTAAGAAATATTTTTAATTCTAACTGAGAAAAAAACGTTGTCAACTCAGAATATTAATTCAGAGCAGGTCAGCTGTGATGATTCCTCTGCTCCACAAGACGCAATACTTGCTGRGTAAAGTTGTGCGTAMCATGGGTCAGCGGTCAGCTGTTCCCAGTCCCACACCGTGGCAGAAACTCGCAGCGCTGCGAMTCACTCGTTCCTTCACTTCAACTATTTAATAAATATTTTTCCAAGTTCTACCAAACTGATCAGTTCCTGTGTTTACATTTATTAAAGACGTGTAAAGGTGGAAATGTCTGTCAGCCTCATGCGCAGCTGAAAACAGCAGCTTCACACAGGCACGTACACACCAACACACACACAACTTTGCGAGTGGCAAACTCATTTTTACACCCCACTGACAATTTTCTAACTCGTTCTCCATTTAATGTATAATTTTCCTGCATCTAAAAATCATTTCTGATCCCACAGAGAGGACAATCTGAGCACAATCTCACACGCTGGACACATTTACATCTATTTTTCGTTTCCCGTCACAGATGGACCCAGAATGCATCACTTCAGTTTTCCAATAAGCAGTTTTAAAATTACTTTATTGATGCTTCTTTAATGAAAAATCTACAACAAACAAAAGAAAAAGACAAAGAAGCAGCCGCAATCCTCAACAACTTTTTAAAGAATCAGCCGAACTGCAAGCCTCAACAAGGTTTTAATTTTTAGACCATGAGCCAAAGGTCTGTTTGAGGAAATCAGATCCCCGCAATCAGCGGTTGTTAATCGAGCTGTACAAGGGGTCCTACACCAGTAGTGGGCAGCTTTGTACAAATAATGTACATGAATTGTAGCCAGCTATAGAGTGTCAAATTGAACCTGTGGCCTAAAATTAGCTTCCGCTAATTTTTCTATTGCGTCAGCGGTTTAGAAGTTGCGGGCCTAAATATTTTTCGTAAGCGCTTTAGAAATTGTGGAACTAATTTTTGAATTAGCCTTGACCACCACTGGTTTTGCTGTTGTGTTTGTTTCACCTCTGCCGCTCCATTCATGTCTGCAGGGACGACAAGAAGGATGCGCTGAAGTTCTACACTGACCCCTCCTACTTCTTCAACCTGTGGAAGGAGAAGATGCTGCAGGCCACGGAGGACAAACGCAAAGAGAAGAGGCGGCAGAAGGTAGGCGTGAAGGTACCGCGAGTTCGCTGGAGTTCCTTTACAGACAAAGACGTATCTGAGTTCCAGCGAGGTCATGAATGCATAGTYTGTGCATGGAGTGTGGATCTAGACAAGAGAAAGTGTGTCAGAACAGTAAATTCATCTTCTGTTTTATTTGCTAATATTTTATTTTCTGCCTACTTTTATCACATTCTGCTATTATTTTAGTTGATGCATTTTAATCTTACTGTACTCGCCATTTAGCTTTGCTCTGTTGTGCCTTTTGTAGTTAAAACAGCAGCAGCTGGGGAAGCTCATCATCAAGCACTGATCAAAGGGAAATACAGCTTCTAATAATGTTCTATTAAGCTTCAGGCCTTTCCACTGTACTCCAAATAGTGTTTTCTGCTGTTTGCACAGATTTTGTGAAACTGAGATTTTCAAAAACACTTTTCAAAATYGAAAAAACTACCAGTTTTGGTATTTTTTGTGTGAACTTGGAATATGGAACTTTGGAGAAACAAATGTCATCACAGACTGTTGTGTTGATTGCCCACTTACCATTTCATGCCCTAAAATCCAGAAGAACAATGGAGCAGTTTTCCCACCTTTTCCTTTAGGTCTGTCTTGCTTAGTCTGATCTTTTTGCCATCAAACGTTGGTCATGTGCTGAAAAGTGCACACACGAGAGGTGTAACTGCYGTAGTTCTCCTCTTCATAAATGGAGACTAGAGGTCGTGTTCTAATGACAAGGGAATCCCATTCCTCGGCCTCCTCAGTAAGGTCTACTTTGAGGTGCTGTAGGAGAAAGTTCAGTCGATGGTTGAACCTTGAATACAGAAAACAATAATGCGGGTTTTGTCCCAGCCATGCAACATTAGACCAGGGGTGGCATTTATAAAGCTTGCATACGCACAAAACGGGCCCAGAAACTTGCGTACGCCACTTTTCACGCGAAGGTTCTGATTTATAAAACCCGAACTTGGTGTGAAAATGTGCAGTCCCCTACGCCAGCTCCGACATTCATTTTGGATTATTCACACAGGGGGTGGGGGGGTGGGCTGTCAGCCGCAGATAACATCGCAGGCTGCAGCGCAAACGGAGCTCAAAGCAGGAGGTAACGGGGGAGAAGAGTGGTGAACTTATTTCTTGCAYCAAAACAGTCGTGGCAGTGGTTGGGTTTTTAATTTTACGAATTGTTTTTTWAKSMRC